GAAATGCCAAGAACCTTTCACCATAAAGTGTTTGGTCAAAAAATGGTCCTATAATTTTCCTTCCACGATTGTTCTTGGAACTCTCAGGTGTTTAAGACAGGAGCGTATTCCGCATAGGCCCAAACATTAACAATATTTTCCACGGTACGTGTTCTGTGCACCCTTTCAGGTACATAAACGGGMTGGACGCTACAAGTAGGCCTGGGTMACACTGTRTTAAGTTTTTGAGTTGTTGCCGCTCACCAAGTCTATGAGTTATAACTTATCTGCTAATGAGTCATAACTAATTTACTAAAGCCGATTAAAGCTTTWCCAGACCCAAGAYTGGAATTTTAACATGTAAAAACAGGTCATYAACATTTTTTATYAGTAACGTTTTACTAGTTTCTCCAAGCAACTATAAAAAAGCGCAACTMRTTTTTTATAAGTAACGTTTMCCCAGCAACGGAACTGGGTTAATGCGCCGGTGCGTTGAGTTGGCACATCAAGCTATTTCCGCAGCACTGCGCCAACTCATAAAAATTAACTGGGTTACCTAGGCCTAGTACACAAGTTTCCCGTAGTCGCCCAGCAAATCGCACTGCAGAATGTATAGACGCAATAGGGTGTTTTCACTTTTTTTTTTAATGTTGATATACAGAAAGTAGTTATGGCAAACATTACACTGGTATAGTTTTTTTGCAAAAAAGTCTGCATAATATTTTTAAAGCTAATTTGAATTCAAATCAGATATTTTCCGCCAAAAACGACAAATCCATATCGTCGGTTGCCTATCCCGATTGTGACGTAGCAGGTCATATCAACAAAGTGTCTCGTGTCTATTTTGTTGTTTTCGCAGCTTTGTTGTATTATTTAAGTTATTGTGATTACCATTATTTTATTTATTATTATTATCTTCCATAATGGAACATAGTGACATGTATGAATCACAAAATAAGTGGTGTATTGTGCCAGGATGCAAGAATACCTCAATGAGTGCTCCAAACAAACTCGTAAAGTTTCATGGTTCAAAGCAGCTAGACATGATGTTCCTAAATGTTTTTTTGTTGCGAGGATCATTTTAATGAAAGTACGAAGAAAAAGTTAATGGTGAGGCAGACAKAATATGCMTTTGATCGTACTCTGTGTTCTGGGCAAATTCTAYCTTGTACAKRRTACAAAGAACCCTCGCGTTTCAATTSCACATATCYGATATCACCATATTGTTCTCGTMATGSCGAAAATACAAATTTAAGAGTTCATATTACTTTTAAAGCAGCAATGTGTATAGGTTAGGTTAAGTTCAATAAGTGAAAYTCTATATGTTATTTACCTAATT